CGCGTGCTTCTTGCTTCTTTCCTTTTTCTGTTTGCTCCGTGTCAGTCTGCCGATGGAATAGGGGCGCGCTCTTTACTCGGGTCTCAATCAAATCAACTTCCCTCCTCCTTTTCCTCCCTCATCGTCCTGCTCTTTCGCCCTCCCCTCCTGGCTCCCTCCTCTGTGGATGCAACTCCTGGGAGGTTGAACTCAGTATCGGCGCTGGGACATCGGCGGTCGAAAGTCGACTTCAGCTGGCATACTCCATGTTGACCTGGCAGAATCCCGCCTAAATCGGGGCCAGTCTGGTTCAGTCCTGGGCTCTTCCGCTCCAGTGCGTACCGCTTTGCGGCCCTCTGCTCGGGCCTTGTGGCGCTCACGGAGACCTCCCAGGAGTTGTCCTTCCTCCGTCCCTCCCCCCTTCCCTCCCTCAGGAGGGAGCAAAACACACGGACACAATGAATCGTCGATTCCCAGAAGATATGGGAAAATGTGGGAGGAGGGGGGAAGACGAAAAGTCAGAAAGCATGGGAAAATATGGGGAATCCTGTTATTTGTGCGTACAGTCAACCATGATAGCAAGGATGGGGCGACTTGGCAAGGGTACCCCTGCATCCTGGCCCCTTCGGCCCATCCTTGGCAGCTTTCGCTGGCCAGCGAAAGAGTCAACATGGCGCTCCAAGGCCCTTGCATCCTTACCGCGCATCCTTATTATCCTGTCGGAGGTTGATAGACCTCCTACCCTGACACGTCGATTAAGGAATTGGCCGTTTTCGGTTCGCGAGAGGGCGTCGCGGCCGTCACTTTTGCGGGTCCAGGTCCGTCGGTTTCGGTCCCAGGCCGTTTCCACTGGGGGGAGGTTTACCAAAGGGAGGTTTGTCCACCGCCGATCCTGATCGTTCTCTTTCATGCTTAGCCGTTGAGCACCTCTGACTCGGGGGAGGCCTGCCTTCCTTCCCCCGCTTGGGAGAGGACCTGCTGAAGCCAACGGAAGAATCATCATCCACCTATCCTCATCAATCTTGGGCGCAGTACAATGAACAGCTGATAAGGAGAGTGGGGTGGGGAATGCAGAAACCGAAACTCGAAACCGATTTCCCAATTGGGGGCACGACGTGCCCACACCTTCAAGGTTTGGATCACCACCACCGCAGAGGAGACTTAACTGTATTCACTTGTGTGCCCTTGGGCCCCTTCCCTCCCTCCCTCTTCCCCCTCCGGCTCTGGCAGGAGCCGGCGCCGGAGAAGCCGGCCGCGCCGGCCCTCGAGAGGGCCCCGTGCACGCCCCGCGCCTCCGAGAAGCGCCCCCACCGCAGGGCCACGACGACGCCCGCAGGCGACCGCCGCGGCGGCGGCGGCGCGGCGGGCAGTACGTCTTCGGCCTCGGCAGGGTTCGCCGGCCTTCGGGGGGTTTCTCGTTCCGGCGGCGAGCGAGGGGGGGAGGCGAGGAGGGGCGGGCCTGCTCAGAAGGCTCCCGGCCGTCCGAGGAGTTTCCGGCGCCTCCCCCCGAAGACGCAGAACACTTCTGAGCAGGCCGGATGCCTTCTGAGAAGCCCCGCCGCCTTCTGAGAAGGCCTCCTCCTTTTCACCCCTCCCCCCTCGCTCGCCGCCGATTCGGGGATTCTCGTTGGCTCCTGGAAGTTCTCTCGCTTCGGGGTGCTCTCCAGCAGCTGCGCCTCGCCGAGAGCGTTACAGGGGAGCCAGAAGCGTCCCGAACGGCCGCCGGAGAACCGAGTTATGGCCCGAAAGCCATGGCCCGAGACGGCTGCGGCGACGAGGAGGTCGCCGAGAAGCCAGCGGGTCCTTGGAAAACGGTTCCTGGGGGAGTCCTGGGGCTCGTTCGCGGTCTTCGGGCTCGGGGGCCCTTCCACGGGCCCGAGAGCCTGCGTGCACCTCCAATAGGAGCTTGCCTGCGCCATAGAGCTGTCTTGTCTATTTTTGGCGTTTCTCCCATTCATATATATATATATATACACATTTATACACAATTGTACACATACATATTTATGTATGTGCTCGTACAATGGGTACCTATATATATATATATATATATATATATACAGAAAACGGATCTGCCATCACATAGCTTGCACCACATAAATTGCACCATACAGTTGGCACCACATATATTGCAAGGTATAGCTTGCACCTCACAGTTTGCCCCACGTAGCTTGTACTGTATAGCTTGAATCACGTAGATTGCACTACAAATCTTGCATCACATAGCCTGCATCACGTAGCTTGCACCGCACAGTTCTTGCACCACGTAACTTAAACATTGGCATTGCACTGACCTGCTGTTTTGGGGCACGCTGGTATACACACACACACACACACATATATATATATATATATATATATATATAGATATTCCTATACTTATACATCCTGTAAGGAAAAATCCCCCCGGGATGCCCCCCCCCCCACATACCTTTGCGGACGGCCGCCCTTGGCCCCCGGACCCCTTTTCCAGCGGACTTCCAAGCCCTCCAGGTCACCGAACGATGGGGCGAAACGCTCTTAATGGCCCCCCAGCGGCCCAAGACGCCCGAGGACGGCGGCCTAAGATAGCCTCAGATGACACTGCGACCGCCCCGAGGCGACCCAAGACGGCCCAAGAGGCACCCAAGAGGCCCCCCCAAAGGGCCCCGTGAGGCCAAAATAGCCCCATTCCCATCGTAAAGGTACATTCTGAACAGATTCGCCTCTTGGCCTTTCATAACGTCCAAGTCGGCCCAAGAGACTCCCAAGACGGCCCAAGAGGCTCCCAAGAAGGCCCCAAGACGCCCAAAGAGAGCCCAAGAGTGCCCCAAGGGCCCCCAAGACAGCCCACGAGACCATCTGGACGGGCCGCACAGGCGTCCCAGAGAACGAAAACCAAGTTCAAATTTCAAGCCATCGGCTTCAAGAGGCCCATAGGATACCCCCAGAGGCCCCCAAGAGGCCCCACCGGGCCCCAAGAGGCCCCTAAGAGGCCCCCAAGAGCCCCCCAGGCGGCCCCCCAAGAAGCTCCCATGAGGCCCCCAGGACGCCCCAAAAAGCTTCCAAGAGTCCCCTCCCCGGACGCCCCGAGCCACTCCTGGCGATCGCGAGGCTTCTGACAAGGAGAGGCGACGAACGGCCTTCCTGACGCGCTCTTGGGCCGTCTTCGAGCTTTAGGTGCCCAATCAAGGCCCAACAGGTCCCAGAAACGCCCAAGGATAGCTTCCCTGGGGTTCCCAAGAGACCCTCAAGAAACAACTGACCGGGAGACGTACCCAACCCTTTGTACACAAGAGGCGACTATACCCAGGACCGTTCATTTCCAACTTACGCCTTGAAGGATTCGGAGTATCCTTGAACGCTTCGCCAAAGAACGTGAGGCCGCAGACCAGTGTTCCCCATTCACGGCATCACTTTTGCGACTCACATCATCGGAAAGAGGGCGATCACGATCTTACAAAAGGAGCAATGATGAGGGGGCCACGAACGTGGCGACAGCTTCGCTGTTCGAAGCCCCCCGGGACGGCGCGGCCTCATTCTGGTCTGCGGATCACGCCATTCCGCTGGACCCGCCAGCGGCCCACGAAGGTAGCGACAGTTTCGCACATCGCAGCCCCCCACTCGTTCCCTCGTTCCTTTCCCAATTTATCCTTCTCCTCTTCCTCCTGTTATGACTCCCTCCTCGTCCTATCTCGCCCTCCTCGCGTCATTCTCCTCCCCCCTCTGTCCTCTCCTCTCTCTCTCTCTCTCCCTCCTCCTTTCCTCCTCACCTTCCCCGACCGTCTCTCTCCCTTCTTCCTCGCCCTCCTCTCCTCTTCTTCCCTTCATATCATTTCCTCCTCTTCTTTCCCGACCGTCTCACTGCAATGCTCTGCCCTCTCAGAGGGCTACCGATTCCCAAGAGAAGCGCGACGACCACGCAGCATGCAGTCTGTTTGGCCCAGGGGAAGTCCAGGGACAAGTTTCGGGTGCGTCTATGCGGAGGGAGCGGAGGGGGAGGATATTCTCGATGGAAAGGAAGGGAGGGGAGGAAGAGGAGGAGGAGGCGGAGGAGGAGGAGGAGGAGGAGGAGGAGGAGGAGGAGGAGGACACAGAGGAGGAGGAGGAGGAGGAGGAGGAGGAGGAGGAGGAGGAGGAGAAGGAGGATAGGAGACGAGCGAGGGAGGGAGGGGAGGAGGGAGGTTTCCACCCCTTCTGCGGGACCGATTGTGAGCGCATTTGCTTTCACCCTCACTCGTGCCCGACTTTCTGGGGCCCGCCCAACGCAGCAAAGGAGTCCGAGGAAACCCGCATCGCCCACGTCTTTTCCAACCTTCCTTTTTTCCACCGTCATCGTCATCATCGTCCGTATGCCCTCGTCATTGTTGCCGCCATGTCTCACAGGCATTGCGGCTCTTCTCGTCTCCCCCAACCCCCGCACATTCACACCTTCTCCCACACGGTGCGCCCCGCCTGTGCCTTTGTAGATTGCTCCTGTAGTCAAATATCCACCCTCCGGCCAGATCTGGATTTCCGCGGCTGCACGAACGCATCTTTCATTCTTGACGACAAAGTCAAGACTCACGGGATCACAGGCAAAATGATGCAGCTCGCGTTTTGCTCGGCCCATTGCCTGGAATCAGCTGCCAACATCCCCGGCCTCTCGCAGATAGACTCTGGAATGCTTGCGCTGTTCCGCGCCAGCTGGCTGGAGCGCGACAGACGCCATCGCGCCCGGCTGCTCCTCGACCCTTCCCTGGCCACAGACGCGACGCCGCCAGCCTCGGGATCGGAACCCGTGCCCTGGAAATCCGCGGTTGCCACCGTCTTCTGCGAGACATCACGCGAGTTCGACAAGGTGACCCAGGAGATCCGGCGTGTGATCTCCGCGGCCAAGAGCTGGGGCGAGTATCACCTTGCCTCCGGCATATCCGCCTCGCGCCCGTTCCCGTCGAACGCACGCCCGGGCATGCCGACGCCACGTTCGGACGCCCGTGCAACCAACCGCCGGCGCAACCCTCATGGCAGCCATCGGGACACCCGCCGGGACAGCGCCGGGACACCTATCGGGACAGCCATTGGGACGCCCATCAGGACAGCCATCGGCACCCTTTTCGGGGCAGCCATCGGGACAACTATAAGGACACCCGTCGGGGCAGCCATCGGGACATTCACCTTTCATTTCGCCCCAGCGACGCACACGCGCCGGCGGACATGCGGTTGGTCTACATCGGGCGCAAGACCTACTCTTTGGACGCCGTCTGCGCCCTCATGGAGGGCCCTCACAGGCTTAAGTACGACCGCTGCTACACCATCGACGCGGGCGCGTTGGACGGCCTCCTCGAGAGAACCAGCCTGGGCGATGGCATCCTCCACGGCGAGAGCAAGAAAGAACTCCGCAAGCGAATCGTCGCTGTCCGAGACCTCCTGCACTCCCTGCCGACGGGGTTCCTGGACGGGCCCCACGAAGACTTGGCCCAGTCTGCGCGCATCTTCTTGAAGACCTCCAAGAAGAACGCCGGCGCCCCCGTGCTCTTCAGAATGAACGAGGCCGCGGCCCGGGAGTGGCCGAAGATGACTACGACCGACCGTCTGTGGCATTTTCTCATGTCTGTCGGCGGCACGAGCCACTTCCATGCGCGGCAGATGTGCTTGGATTGCCCGGCCGAGATCTGCGAATCATCCGAAATGCGCGCGGTGGGTCCGAGTTGCTACTCCTACCTACGCTTCGCCTACACGGCCGTCGACTTCCCAGCAACTTGGAGTTCTGCGGCGGGGCAGGCGCTCGGCATTCGCCTCGTCGAGCACCTCCGAACTCGTCCCGGATTGCAAGGTCTGCAGTTTCCGGGGCCTACGCTCAGCTTCAACAGCTCCGAGCACTGGATGTGCGAATCCGTGAAGGCTCTCAAAGCCTTGCGCAACGACGACCTCCTCGTCCGCGCGGGCGAGTTGGGCCACGTCCTGCCGAGTGGCGCGCTGCCGGTGCCAGCCAGCGGGGAATTCCGCACGCGCAGATTCCGCGCCGGTTTGGCAGCACCGGACCCGTGTTCCATGAGCGCCAACTTGATGCGCGCCCCCCGTGCCACCAGCGCCGTCGCCCCCATGAAGAAGAACGCCGTGGACGAGCCGCCCGCCGAGCGGCAGGCTTCCCTGAAGGCCTTCGCGACGACGCGCGGGTGACGCCGAGCCCGCGAAGACCAGCTACGACGTTGCCGTGGACCCCGACATCCAAGACGAATTCCGGGCGTGGCTCACCAGGCGCTACCTTTGCGCCACGGAAGCCGCTTGGCCCGTCTTCGGCTACAACATTTACGACAGGCGGCCGCGCGTCGTTTGCCCCCCAGCCCACGTGGACGGCCAAGACTGGGTTTCGTTCGAAGAGGGCAAGGAGGCCGAAGCACTCCAGGGGCGCACTTCCCTTGTACAGCGGTATTTCCACCGCCCCTCTGTGAGCCAGTTCTCCGCGCTAAAGTACAGCGAGTACTACGAGCAGTGCATGATTGCCCCCGCTTGCCCCGTTCGCCTACGCGGCAACTTCCCGGAGCTCTTCCCCGAGGCCGCCCCGGCGCCCGACGCGGCGTGGATGGGCCGGGCGCCCCAGGGACAACGCCATTTCGTATGCCCACGGCAGCGCGGGGAAGCCCCTATCTGCAGGCTGGAGATGAAGTTCCCCCGGCAGAAGGAAGTCTTTCATCTCCGGCATATGCTATTGAATTTCCCCAGGCAGGACTTCCGTGATTGTCGCACTCACAACGGTCGCGTACATGCCACGCACGAGGAGGCCCTGCGCGCCGCCTGCCAGTTCGCCGCCAACACGGAGGCCCACGAGGTCCTTGACGAGCTCATTCAGCTGGGGTACACTGCCAGCCAGTTGCGCTTCGCTTTCCTCGTGCTCCTCGAGCAGGATGCAGCGCCGGTGGAGCTTTTCGCAAATTATGAACGACCGCTAATGAAAGACTTCTTGGACCGAGGGCTGTCTCCGCAGCGCGCGCGTGAGCGCCTCGTCCGCCTGCTCAAGGCCGCCTGGTTGGAGAACGGCAACCTCGAATCCAAATCGAAGCTGTCGGACACGGATGGAGAGAATCACTTGCCAGCGCCGCCCGCCCCGCTCGCGGGCTCCGCGCTGGGCGATCTGCAGGCCAAAGTGTCGAGGTGCTCTTCGCAGCGCGCCGTCGCTGCCGACGTCCTTCGCCGCTGGCGCAACGCCGAGGAGGCATTCATCTTCTGCGAAGGAAGGCCGGAACCGGAAAATCCACGCTGGCGCAGTGAATCACAGCGACAGTGGAGGCCGCCGACGACGTGGTCATTAACGTTGCCAGCGCAGGACACGCTGCTTTGCCACTCCCTCAATGGGCCATGGCGCACTCCGTCTTTGCCATCCCTGTGGGTGATTCGCTGAGCTCTTCAGCCACCTCAGTGTCCGCTCTGCAGCGGCTCTCCACATCGCCCGCGCCCCGATCATCCAGTGGGATGAGCGGCCTTGCATTCGCAAGGCAGCATGGGAGTCCGTCTTGAGCTTGCTCGACGCGCTCAAAGCCCAGCGCCCCCGATAATACCGGCCCAAGGTATTCATATGCTACGGGGGCTTCCGCCAGATCCCCCCCGTCATCCCGAAAGCCAGTCGCCGCGTCATCGTCCAGAACACCGTCCAGACCTCCTCGTCGTGGGCCAAGTTCACCCGGTTTCACCTTTCCCGTGTTTGGCGACAAGCTGAGGACGTTTTTTTTGCCAGTGGATAGACGCATTGGTGACGGCACGCAAACAACTCAGAGCAGCAACGCCGGTGACTTGGGATTCGTGTCCCTGCGCGACATCGCCACCGTGGCAGACGAAGCAGCGGCCGTCCGACGCGCATTTCCTCACGTTAACGACCCGCGCGACTGCGCCAATTCCAAGATCCTGGCCGCCGCGAACACGTTGGTGGACGCGCACAACGAGCGCGCTCTAAATGTTTTGGAACGCACTTACTTTTGCCTTTCCTAACATTTGCTCAGCGCCGACACGCTGGACATCGATTGCACAGGCCTCATCGAGCCGCACTTGACTGCGGAGTTTCTCACGCTCCAGAACGCCCCAGGCGCGCCGCCCCATGACTTGCACACTGTGGTCGGTGGCCTTTTCGAGCTCATGATGAATTTCAACCCTATCGAGCGACTCATGAACCATGTGCCCGTCATAGTGCAGGCGGTCCACCACCATCACATCTTTATAGAAACCTTGGATGGCCGCGAGTATCCTTTACCGCGCATCGTTTTCCGCTGGCAGATTGCCAGCGGCACGTCCACCATGGCCCGTCGACCATATCCTTTGCGGCCAGCGTGCGCGTCCACCTTCAATGGACGGCAGGGCCGCGCGCTCGCGCGCGCGTGCCTGGACGTGCGCCGAAGCCCTTTTGCCCATGGGCATCTCTATGTGGGCGTTAGTAGAGTCAAGAACCGCGCCGGTATGCGCGCTCTCCCCGACGGTGAAAATATGGACCAGAACGGCAACGCCTTGTGCGCAACGTCGTCTGGCCTGAACTGCTTCTGCGATCGGACCCACCCCGTCCGAAGCGCCCTGGCTTCACGCCGCGCAAGCGACCTGCCGCCTGCCGATGATGCTCGCAGAAAATACTTTTCATTACGTGCCCATCCCTTCCTTGGCGGGCGGTCGCCACCCCTTCTCCCGGCAATGACCTTCACCCCCCTCGCGGTCATTAGCGTTTACCCCTCGTCGTACCGACCGTTGACCCTCTCCGACGATCGTCGCATCCACCCCGCCACGTCGACGTCGTCCTCCCCCCCGTCCTCCTCCTCCTCCTCCTCCTCATCAGCATCGTCATCGTCCTCGTCATCGTCATCCAAACTTGAACTCATTCTTCCATTTCCTAACCTCGGTCACGCACATGGCGTTGCTCCTTGACCGCCATGACCGCGACCCCCCTCGTGGTCACCGTTTCCTCTAACCCCTCATCGGTGACTACGGCCTCGTCGCGGTATGTCGCCGTCTCCCAAACACAGGAATGCTTATGACCCGTCCGGGAATTATGACCGCGACCCCTCTCGTGGTCTTCGTGTGCTTGCAGACATCATTCATTCACCGAGTGTTTGGGTGCGCATGGTCGCAGGACCAAGATTGAGGCGAAGCGAAGCGAGCCCTCAAATCATGTATATGTATATGTATATGTATATATGTATATATGTATGTATATATATATATATATATATAGATATGTATACGCATACACATGTGTGCATATATGATCCAGGGTCGAGGGTTCACGGGCCCCCCCCCCCCAGATGGTATGGTCCCAGGATTCCTCGGGCCCCCCCCCCAGATGGTATGGTCCCAGAGACGACCACGACGACGACGACGACGGCGACGACTACGACGACGGCGACGACGACGACGACGACCACGACGACGACGACGACGGCTGCGGCGGCGACGACGCCGGCGGCGGCGGCGGCGACGACGACGATGACGACGACGAGGGCGACGACGACGATGGCGACGACGACGACGACGAAGACGACGAGGACGACGAGGACGACGACGACGACGACGACGACGACCTCTGAACCACCGCAGCGCCGCACCACATCCACAGGGGGGGGGAAGGGGGCACCGCAGCGCAGCACCACGCCACGCCCACTTCTGAGCCACCACAGCACCACACCACATCCAAAGGGGGGGGGGGGCACCGCAGCGCAGCACCACGCCACGCCCACAGGGGGGTGCGGGGGGGACCATCGCGCGGGGCCAATGGCATCAGCATTGGGGGGGGGGGGCCCAAGCCCTGGACCATATATGGCGATATCTACGTATTATCATATCCACCTCCCCCATGGAGCATTGTCGTCCGCGATTGTTCTGGCTGTTCCGTGCAGTACATCCTCAACGTTCTGAGCATTGGATGCGGCTCTCACGCAGATCGCGATTCCAGGGTCCAAGCTCACAATGGATCTGCATCTTTTTACCGTACAACCTTCAAACACATAGCGTGGTTCAATGATTTGCGCATATTTGTTCGGAATCCGTTGTTCTATTTTTTTATGCTGCCGAGTGTAGTTCTTCAGCGTTGTATCGTAAGACATACAACGCACAAAGACATTCAGTGCCTGGCAACCAACTCATTGAAACGCATTTGTTTTTCGTGTGGTGGGGGCATTGTAGTTTTCTCACTTTGCTCAAACCGTTGTTTTTTATGCTCGCAGGGGTGCTTCTAAACATGCCGTCTAATCGCAAGCTGTTGCAACCCCATCCTTGGCCCCATTGTTTTTTGTTTACGCCTGGGCACGCATGTGTCATTTGTGTAACTACATACGAACGGGAAATCAAGCAATTAGTTGCGCACACTTTTCGGACACATACTGTGCACATGCATACATCCATACATGCATACATCCACACATATATATGTATATATATGTATATATGTATATATATATATATATATGTATATATGTATATATATACAATCATACATACATACATGCCTGCATACACATACTCACAATCATGCGTGCATGTATGCATGCGTGCATGCATACGTACATACATACATATGTGCATACCTACATGTATGTATGTATACATGCATGTATTGATGTATGTATATATAAGCACACATTCATGTATGCATACACAGATGCACAAGGTTACGTGTGTGTACTTCTGCAGCGAAAGAGAAATAAACACTTAGATATAATAGAACGAAAGGGATATATCATATATATATATACATAGAGCAATATGCCGAGAGAGAGAGAGAGACATATAGACACATAAAGGGAGAGACACATGATAAAATGCAATGGCAAGAGGGAGAGAGAGAAGGTGAGAGCGAGAGAGCCCATGAGATCGAGAGAGCCAGGTACAGCGAGGGATGCATATGATCTTACATACATATTGGTGTATACGTGTATATATATGTATATATATATAGAGAGAGAGAGAGAGAGAGAGAGAGAGAGAGAGAGAGAGGGAGAGAGAGAGAGAGAGAGAGAGAAATAACATAGATATACTGTGAGAGTGCAAGAGAGAGGAGAGAGAGAAAGAGAGAGAGAGAGAGAGAGAAACGGAGAGCGAGAAAGGGGGGGTGGAAGAGAGAGAGAGAGACAACAACATGAAAGAGAGATAGAGAGAAGGGGATCTATTATATAGATAATGAAAGAAAGAGAGAGAGAGAGAGGGAGGGGGGAGAGAGAGAAAGAGAGAGAGAACGATACAGATGTGTGTATATATATATATACACGTACATATACAAGGCTGCAGTGGCGCTTCGCGCCATGTGCCTTGTTCCGGACGCTTCCCTGGTAAAGCAATCAATCATCGCTTGCTTCAGCAGAAGGGACCTTGAGGCCTGGACGGGCGATCGGTTCATTTTTTCTGATTTCCTTGGTGCCTGCTGACGCCGCGTTCGCCCGATGCGCTTGCGCGCTTGTTCGCAGGAGTGGGAAGGGAATGCTGATTTTTCACGCGAAGGTGCTGGCAACCGACGAAGCATCAAACTGTTGCGATGGCAATTGTCCATGAACGGGGAACGGGAAGGGAGCAGGGATGAGGGGGGCTTGAAGAGGCGAAAAGGGGGGAGGGCGGAGAAACGGGGAGAAGGTCAGAGGAAGGAGCGGGCGAATGAGGGTGGCCATCGGATGCCACGAACGTGGAGGTCGACGAAAGATCTCAGGGGGGAATGGGGGAAAGGGGAGAGAGAGAGAGAGAGAGAGAGAGAGAGAGAGAAAGAGGAAAACAAGAAAAAAGAAAAAGAAAGAGAGATATATATATATATATACAACGAGCGCACAGATGACGCCGTCTGGGCGTCTTTGGGGCTCTCCAGAGGCCGTCCTGGGGCCCTCCCCCTTGGGGGCCTCCTGGGAACCTTCTTGGGGGTCTCCCGTGGCCTTCGTGTGTCTCTCTTGGGGGCCTTTTGGGGGCATCTTGGGCTTCTTGTGGGCCGTCTCGGGGCTCTCTGGGGCAGTCTTGCGGCCCTCTCGGGCCGTCTTCAAACCCTCTGGGGGGCCTTTTGGGCCGTCGTGGGGCGATGCCAGGGGCCCATCGGGCCGTCTTGGACGCTGCGAAGACCCAGGAAGCGGATATGTTGAATATGTACGTTTTCCCAAGGGAATGAGACGATGTTTGCTTCTTCGGGGCTCTCTTAACGGCCTCTTGGGGCGTCTTGGGGCCTCGTGGGCCGCCTTCGGACCATCGAGGCGTTCTTATGCTGTCTTGGGTCTCTCTTGCGCCTCTCCGATGACCCCTCTGATCGCTGTGAATCTGCTCGCAAGGCCCCGCAGGGCGCCCTGGGAGGCCCGGAAGGGCCAGCGGACCTCAAGGGCGTCCCTGGGGCCGCCGAGACGTCCGAAAGGGTGTCCGGGGTATCCTTGGGGGGGGTCCTGGTTTGGGGTGGGTGGGAGGGTTTCTGGGTTATTCAAACGTATGGATAGGATTATACATACAAGACTGCATTGGCGCTTCGCGCCATGCGCCTTGTTCCGGACGCTTCCCCGGCAAAGCAATCAATCATCGCTTGCTTCAGCAGAGGGGACCTCGAGTCCTGGACGGGCGATCGGTTCATTTTTTCTGATTCCCTACCTAGGCTCTGCCTAGAAGGGTTCTTACTCTCTAGCTTAAAGGGGCCGGGCAGTGGAAAGCGCCCCTGGCGGTTCCCCCAGTCCCCGCCCCGCGGTTCCCCCAGTCCCCTGGGAACTTTAGCTTTAGCTTTTAGCTTTCAGCTTTCAGCTTTAGCTTTAGCTTTAGCTTTAGCTTTAGCTTAGCTTGAACTTAACTTTAGCTTAGCTTTAGCTTAACTTTAGCTTAGCTTTAGCTTAGCTTTAGCTTAACTTTAGCTTAGCTTTAGATTCGCTTTAGCTTAGCTTTAACTTTAGCTTTAACTTTAGCTTAGCTTTAGCTTAGCTTCAGCTTAGCTTTAGCTTAGCTTTAGCTTAGCTGTAGCTAGCTTTAGCTTAGCTTTATTTTAGCGTTGGCTTAGCTTTAGTTTAGCTTCAGCTTAGCGTTAGCTTAGCGTTAGCTTAGCTTTAGCTTAGCTTTAGCTTTAGCTTTAGCTTAGCTTAAGCTTATATTTAGCTGAACTGTAGCTTATATTTAGCTTAGCTTTAGCTTAGCGTTAGCTTATCTTTAGCTTAACTTTAGCTTAGCTGTAGCTTAGCTGCAGCTTAACTTTAGCTTAGCTTTACTGTTACTACTAATGCTGCATTCCTAGGGGCTCCAACTCCTAGGTAGGGTCGCACTGGGATAATTTCCTTGGTGCCTGCTGACGCCGCGATCGCCCGATGCGCTTGCGCGCTTGTTCGCAGGAGTGGGAAGGGAATGCTTTTTTTTCACGCGAAGGTGCTGGCAAACGACGAAGCATCAAACTGTTGCGATGGCACCTGTCCATGAACGGGGAACGGGAATGGGAACAGGGATGAAGGGGGGGCTGACGAGGCGGAGAGGGGGGAGGAGGGGGGGAGACCTGCCTCCCTCGATCGAGGAATTTTTAGCCTCGAGTCGCAAGCGTGGAACCAAGATCTTCGGGTCAGCTCGGTGTACTTCGTAGGGGAACGCCGTCTGGGCGTTTTGGGTGCTCTTTTGGGCTGTCCTGGGGCCTCCTTGGGCCGTCCTGGGGTCTTCTTGGGCCGTCTTGAGCTGGGGCCCTCCAGAGGTCTTCTTAAGCCATCTAGGGCCCTCCTGGGGACCCCCAGTGGCTTTTGGGGGTCTCCCGTGGCTTTCGTGCGTCTCTCTTGGGCTCTTCTGGGGGCATCTTGGGCTTCTTGTGGGCAGTCTCGGGGCTCTCTGGGGCAGTCATCGGGCCCTCTTGCGCCGTCTACAAACCGTCTTGGGGTGATGCCGGGGGCCCATCGGGCCGTCTTGGACGCTGCGAAGACCCCCAAAACGGATACGCTAGAAACAGAAGTTGTCCCAAGGGAATGAGACGATGTTTGCTTCTTCGGGGCTCTCTTCACGCCCTCTTGGGGCGTTTTGGGGGCCTCTTGTGCCGTCTTTATCATCCGTCCATCGACGTTCCTCTTGGAGCGGTGGGGGTGTGGGGGGACTCTGGGTAATACGAATATAGGAATCGATCTAGACATATATATATATACATATATAACAATACATACATGTATATATGTATGTATGTATGTATGTATGTATGCATGTATGTAAATACGTATGTATGCATGTGTATATGTATATATGTTTAGGTGTGTATACACATATGTTTACACATTTATATATCGAGAGCTGGAGAAAAAGAGAGAGAGAGAGAGACATAATCAGAGGGATATAGATACATAAAGAAGTAGAGGGAGAGAGTGATATATATAGAGAGAGATAACACTATAGACATATCTTTATACATAGAGAGAGGTACATAAAGAGAGAGAGAGAGAGATAGAGATAGAGATAGATAAACTACGCATATACATACATACATACATACATACATACATACATACATACATACATACATACATACATACATACATACATACACATATATATACACATAGAGAGAGAGAGAGAGAGAGAGAGAGAGACATAAAGAGAGTGAGAGAGAGAGGGGGATAGAAAGAGAGAGAGAGAGAGAGAGACAGAGAACAAAAAAAAGAGAGAGGGAGAGACAAGAGAGAGTGAGAGAGAGAGAGAGGAGACAGAAATTGGGAACAAAAGGGGGCCCGCTGTATGCCAGGCCGTGCCAGAGGAGAGGGGGGACGGGGAGGGCGCTGACGCCGCCGCGCGAAGGTGACGGACAGGCAGAGGGCGACGACCAGGCCTCCGACACGACGACGGCGCGCCCCGAGACAACGCGACCAGCGGCTGCGGGCGACGACGAGGACGCTAACACGCCGCGGCCGACGGCTGGCCAGGTGCAGGGCGGCGGCGACGAGGAGGACCAGGCGCGCACGCCTCGCCAGCAGTGGCTCGCCGCGCCGGGGTGGTTTTTGCAGGAGGCGGGGCTGCCAGCACCACTCGTTTTTTCGCCCCCTTTTGGGCCTCGTCGATGGGGGGCCCTGGCCGCCGCGGCGGGGTCCGCGTGCAGCTCTGGCCGCGGAGCACCCGGGGGGGGGGGTCCGACTCCTCCTCCTCCTCCTCCTGGCTCCTCCTGGCTCCTCCTCCTCTTCCTCCTCCTCCTCCTCCTCCTCCTCCTCCTCCTCCTCCTCCCCTTGCGGGTGCCAACAGGGGCGCATCCTCCCGTGCCTCCGTTTCTTCGGCAGGAGGCCCCAGAGCGACGTGGAGGGAGAGAGGGGCAGAGGCAATGGCCAACGCATCGGTATCATTGGGTTGCCCAGCTGTTCACGCCCTCGCGCTTCGGATGCTGGGGCGCGGTCGGGAGTCCCCGACGCCGGGGTGTTGGAGTGTTCGTCCTGCTCCGGCTCTGCATCTAGGCCTCCCAGATGGGGTCTGAGTAGATGGGGCCGGAGGATCTCACCGCATCGCCGATGCATTCGCGACGTATCGCCGATGTATCGGCGATGCGGCGAGATCCTCCGACCCCATCTACTCGGACCCCATCCAGGAGGCCTCTATTGTATCCGCCGCACTTTGGTCGAATCTCCGACCCAAAATTGTGTTGGCAATGCACCCCGAGCGATGCGAAAAAGTAGGTCGGACATTTCCGCCCCAGGAAAATAGGGCGGACATTTCCGAAAAGGTATTGCGGATACGGCGACGGCAAAGTAGGGCGGAAATCGATGCCAAAGGAGTTTGAAATCGCCCAGAGTACGGCGGATCCGAAGTCAGGGTGCTCCTCCTCGTTTTCCTCGCCCTCCTCGTTCTTCTCCTCCTCCTCCGACTTTTTGCTTCCTCCTCCTCCTCCTCCTCCTCCTCTTCTCCTTCCACATCCACCTATCGACCTCAAGCGTCCATCAACTCAACATTACGACCTTCAACCTCTAGCATGCGACTCTTCACTTCTACCTCCACCGATCGACCTCCAGCGTCCACCAGCTCAGCACTCCGTCCTCCAACCCCTAGCATCCGACTCTCCACTTCCAGCTCCACCGATCGACCTGCAACGTTCACCAGCTCAACATTACGACCTCTAACCTCCAGCATGCGACTTTCCGCTTCCACCTCCACCGATCGACCTCCCAACCTCCACCAGTTCAGCATTCCAACCTCCGACCTCCAGCATCTGACTTTCCACTTCCCCCTCCACTAATCGACCCCCAGCGTCCACCAGGTCAACACTCCGACTTGCAATCTCCAGCACCCGACTCTCCACCTCCACTTCCACCTATCGACCTCCAACGATCACCAGCTCAACATTAAGACCTCCAACCTCCAGCATCCGACTCTCCACTTCAAGCTCGACCAATCGACCTCCCGCCTCCACCAGCTCAGCACTTCAAGCTCGACCAATCGACCTCCCGCCTCCACCAGCTCAGCACTCCGACCACCAACGTCTAGCATCCGACTTTCGATCCACCTCTACCTATCGACCTCCAGCGTCCAACAGCCCCGCATTCCGACCTCCAGCATCTAGCATCCGACTCTCCACTCCCACCTCTATTTATTGACTTCCGACGCCCACCAAATCAGCATTCCAACAACCAACCTTTAGCATCCGACTCTCGACTTCTGCCTCCACCAATCAACCTCCACACTCCACCAGCACAACATCCCGACATCGAATTTCTAACATCCGACTTCCCGTTTCCACCGCCAATCGACCTCCGGCTTATGTGCCTTCGGCTGCGCGTGTATCTGCGCCCTGAGTGGTATCTGAAGGATGTGACTGGATTGGAATTCTTTACGCTTCGCGTATCCCCACCAGCCCATCTCACAGCAGCAACTCTTGCGAAGCATGCAGACAGTCGTGTTTTCAGGCGTGTGTCCGCTTGACCCCGCATATCTCCCCTGTTCCTCCTTCCTCCCGCCTCCTTGTACATCCTCCTTGTGGGGGGAGCGGGAGAAGGACGAGGCGGAGGAGGAGGGAGAGAAAGCGCTCCTCGTGATTTGAGTCGTTTGGGGTTTCTCGTCCTGGTGTGAGTCGTTCGGGCCCTTCTTCCTGGTGTGAGTCGTTCGGGCTCTTCGTGGTGTGAGTCGTTCGGGCTCTTCGTCCTGGTGTGAGTCGTTCGGGCTTCTCGTGGTGTGAGTTGTTCGGGCCCCTCATCCTGGTGTGAGTCGTTCGGGCCCCTCCTCCTGGTGTGACTCGTTCGGGCTCCTCGTGGTGTGAGTCGTTCGGGGCCCGCGTCGTGGTGTGAGTCGTTCGGGCTCCTCGTGGTGTGAGTCGTCGGGCGCCTCGTCCTGGTGTGAGTCGTTCGGGCCCCTCCTTGTGGTGTGAGTCGTTCGGGCTCTTGGGGCCGCTGAGGAGCCTCTGGGAGGCCTCTTGGAGGCCTCTGAGGAGCCTCCTAGGGGCCTCTTGGGGCCATCTCGGAGCTTCGTGCGACCTCCTCAGCAGCGCCAATGAGAGGTGCCCCCTGAAAAGGACAAAATGAGCCCAAAACCTTTGTAAAACCAATGATTTTGCTATGAAGGAAGACGAGCGCGGCCTCCTCAGGACGCCCAAACGGGGCCAAAACCGTAGTAACATCAATGATTTTTGGTTCAAAGAAGAGAAGAGGGGCCAAAC